CCCCCTCCACATGGCCCCACCAAGTATTATTATATTATTTATCATTATGTATTTTAATATTTTCAAAAATTGTTTATAATTTCACGAAAATGTATTATATTATTTACTTGGACATTTTMACAACTTAACTAGATAATATATGTATTTTTATTATTTTTAACAGGATTTTTTTATACATTTGAATTGAAAATTCAAAAAATTGAAAAAATTAAATTTTTAAATCAAAAACCTACTCTCGATAGAATTTATCAAAATATAGGTATCCATTAAAAAACTTGCTTAAATATATAGGTATTTATATAAATTTAAGAAATGCTCTGTGGAAATATAAAAATTACACTRCAAAAGTTTCAATGTAAAAATAGAAAAACATATTCAGTAAAATAGCTGCGATAATATATTATAGGRAAAGGTCTACTATCTTTATTGAAACCGATCAATCAATTGTAGTTTGAAGTCTAAGGGACCATGACATCAAACGAGGGAAGGGGTTACATGAAGACGCCCCTCCCCATAAGTGTTTCTGTTTCTACAAGCCTCTTGAAGGATTGCAAATTGTTTCCCGAGACKTGCAATTAATTGCATAAAAATTGCAAAATTTTGATGCCGGTTTGAATTTCGTATGGTTAACTTCACGAACGTATTTAATAATGGAATCTCGCAAATGAAATATTAATTTTAACAATAATAGGTACTATTATTATAAATTAAATATAGGTTATGTACCTATATATTAATATATTATATTTGATTATGTATGTATAATTTAGGAATCGGAAATTGTACCTAGCACTAAAGTAAGTAAAATACTTTAAATACTTGTAAATTGTAAGTAGGTACCTACTGAAATATTTCCATAAAAAATATCCAAAATTGTACTCAATTAATTTTTAATTATACCTATTCAAAAAATAAGTATACATACAAATTAAAAAAAAAAAAAAAATTACACAATTTAAAAACGATAGGTATTATCAGTCTGGTTTACATGTGCTTGGTACCTTGGGTGGATACATATTTTAAATGTAAATTGACGAGTTAATTACCTATAATAGAATGTTAAGTTAGCGATAAAATGATTTAAGTATAACTTATATAACCTATATCAGTTACTACAGGGGTTGGCAAAATAGCTGGCGGCCAATGTCTAGACCACCGCGTTGTGGGGAAATAAATGGATCACCAAATTTTATTTTTTCGAATCATCAGAATTCCTTTAGAAACTAATCGCTGACCCCTGCATGAGCTTCTAGGATAACACCGTATTATTATCTAGTATCTACCACCAAATTATTTTATTCTTATATAAGTACAGGGCCACAGGGGATACGTATATAGCCATATAGGTATATAACCAGATTTGCACCACTACATCGAATCATTACAATATGTATATAATATATTAGTATCTACTTATAGGCTATAATTATAATTTATAATATTTGCCAATTTGCAATACATATAGGTACGTATACTGCAGTATGCACAGTATAAATATTTTTAAAAGAAAATAGAAATATCTAAAATGTTAGTTGGTACCTATGCAGTCAATTTTTTTTCTTAACAATTATATTTTTAATTTTTACTGTACATCAAAARTTCATAAATTTCACTCTAATATATATAAAAATGTGTGGTACCTATAATACAAGAAGATATTATAACCAAAAAAAATCCAAAATAAGTAAAAATTGAAAAATAAGTAATTTATAAATTTATAATCGCATTGAAATGCATTTCTATTTTTCTAGTTTGTTGAGAACAACAAATAATTTTTTCGAAGATAAAAATTAAACATATGCAATGCAACTGATTCCGATTCACGTACATAACATGATAATATTATATTAAGCTATATATCGTMGTGGTCGTTGTCTTTGCACGGACGTCGTGATTGTTACCTATTGGCTATTATATGTAGCGCAAGTGCATCACGACTTATTACCGCGGCGCCAACCTTTATTGCAGCGTCATTGGCATTTGGACAGGTGACAATTATCATTTTTTTATTAATTGTAGGTACCTACATATTATTTCTTAGGTCTATTTCTACCGTCTACGCGTTACGCCGTTGCGCATAAACGTGAATATTTAATAATTTAMCTTTTACGTCCACAGTACCATGTTAAACTTGACATTTTTCAAGACAAGTCCAAAATTTTTTTTTAATCTGGATACTGGACACTTATCATTTTTAATTTCATAGGTATTATAAAAACTTTTGATCAATTTTTAAAAATGTCGGTGATAGTTCTACAGACAAGTTTATTCTGGTTCGGTATGCGCTCTACATATTATTTTATTATTGGCATTTATATCTGTCAAGGATGGAGGAGCGTCTCCAGYTAATGGTCTACGCCTATCGTACTTCCATTGGCYAGCGAAACGAGCTTCGTCAATTTGAACACACTCCTTACTTCTTCATGTCCGATGCATTGCCGTATGAGTAGGCAATTCCAATACAAATTCAACAATTTGAATAAGTGTTAACCCACTGTTGCAACGTTGGTTCAAGTCAGTGAAATTAAAAAATCTGCCACTAGCCCATGTCGATCTTGTTGCAGCCTTCTTTTGGACACCGACAATTTTCACATTAGCCCATTTCCGTCGTTTTACTTGCATTTCTGAGTCCTAATAAAATGTATAGTAGAAATTACAGTAAAAAGTAACTACTACAGTAATAAATATAAGATAATAAAGTTGAAAGAAAAACCCAACATATCATATATAAAAACAAGGTAGATTATTTTTGTCAAATATTCCAAAAACGTAAACCGAGTGTAGAACGGCAAAACCTGTAGAATGCATACCGAACTAGCACCAAAATATCTAGTTTCATTATTTCATATGCATCATTTTTTTTTAAATAAGATAAAATATACAAATTTTCATTTGATTTTCATGAATATTATAAATTATAAATAATAAATGTATATTTTTTATTAACTAAAATACTTAAAACAATAAAAATTGCTATTAAAATAATAAATTAAGTATATATTATTAAAAAGACTGGTTTATTATTATTATTTTAATAACAATTTTTATTTTTTAAAGTGAATAATGTTATTATTTATTAAATATATCCGCGATTCATTAAATTTATAGCCCTGATAATAAATATTAAATATTATTGTAAATAAAATATATTTTGAGAAAAAATTTGTTGATGCTAATAAATATATTTTTTTATTTCATTACTCATTAAATAAAGTGCAGATTTCTATGCAATAGCATATTTTATTTAAGATCTTACTCTGATCACTCTTATTACTGTGTAAGCTGGCTGTCATATATATAGTATATGCGGTCTACCGGCGATTTACGAATATAGTATGCGGTCTACCGCGAATAAATAAATTAAAAATATCATAATATTATAGTATAATTATTGTAGAAATAATGCCTGGTAAAAAATTTATTTTTTTTGACGTCCCTTTCTCTTACAACGTAAAACTCAGTTTCCTAACCTCTCTCCTTACGTAGGTATAAATTCATAGCTGCACTTCCACACTTAATACATTCGGCATTTTCATTATTTGCCACAAGATTTTTGCTGATTAAAAAAATTGTGGTAGATTCGTCACTACTAATTATTATTACTTTTGCCAACATATTGTGTGTATAAAATATGATGTTAAAATGTGGTGTTGCGCAATTATAAATGGCATACTGAGCTATTGAGCCAATACTTTTACAAAATGTTGAAGTATTGTTATCTATGTATAATGCAATTAAGATAAAGAGCATCTAAAAGATCGAAAAATATTAAAGTGTATCTATTAAAAATAATAAACTTAAGCCTAATATGTAAAAACCACAGATAGACCGCATCCTACAGCGGCTGGTAGAACGAATTTTCCGGTAGACCGCATACTATATGACAGCCTTAAAGTGGAAATCATACCAAAAATATGTAAGTTTGATTTGACATGGTCTCTTGTGCATCGTTATAAGTATTATTACACAGATCATTTTAGCAAATATAAAAGTCATTGAAAGACTGGGAAAGGATATGATGAACGTTGTAAAAAAATGTCTAGATATAATTGAAGATAATATGGTACTGAGATACTGTTGTTAATTTAATAACATTTATACCTACTCATCTGCAGTTTTTAGTGATAGCAATTAACAATAAAGAAACTAGAAATTCAAATTATCACATTCAATTAAAGTATTTCAAAAATGATGAAATAAAAGAAAAAAATCAAGCTATTCCTGGATCAAAGGAGGCAACACTTCAAACAAAGTTACATGATCTTATTAATAAAAATAAAGGCCTGGTAATTCTATATTCTATGGCAAATTAATACAGTACTATTAAGCTAAAACGTTAAGCTTAGCTTCATATTACCAATGATACAGTTTATCAACACTCAACAACTTTGTTTAACGTCAAAATAAATTATCGTTCTCAGTATTTTAAATTTGTTGACAGATAAACGCCACAGCTTCACTGAAGAAAATCTGAAAATGCATATAGTTATTTATTTTCATAATAATTAAAATATAATAATTTATAATACCTTTTTTATAATATTTGAATATAAATACAGATTTGTGAAGAAATAATTGAAATTTTCTTGCATATTTATAAAAAAATTTATATATGACATATTTTAATTTTTTTTTAGAAAATTCTGCACTTCATTTATTATTAAATGTAATGATAATAGAAATAATTAGGTACATGTGATGTAAAATAAGTTTTAAGTAGTTATAGGTTATAAGTTATAACATTTATTCAAAATAAAAATACATAAGTCAAAGAAATTATATTGTTTATTACTATTCGATAATTAGATTAATTGGGATAGAATTTATAATAATATAGCAGATATTTTTTTTAAATTGTATACAAAATTTAAATAAATCTGAAATAAATTTACCCTTAAATATTTTAGTGAATTTAATTGCCATTTTTGAATATATAAGCTTCCAAAATTTCTTTTAACAATCAAATAAATCATCATAATTTATTATAAAAATATATTGACATTATATATGTACATTTTTTATTAAAATAAATCTATATTATATACATATATCGATGTTTATTAGAAAAAGTCATTGTTGCAATCAACTATCACTCAACCATGTCTTGATAAATGAAAGTAATTTAGAAGTATCCTAAAAAAATAAAAAATATTAATGTTATTTACATTTAAATAATTCAATAATAAATATTTAAACTAATTGAGTTCTATATTTAGAATAAATCTTCAATAAATATTTATGATAGTTCCTATTTATAAATTTAAGATAAAAAATACTTTAATAACAAAGAGAAAATATTATTCAGTTAATTATTCAAAAAATATTATATAACACACTTTGAAAAATAATTATCAAAAAAGTATTTATAATTTATTTATTACAAGCTAATAATTCAATTAATAATAATACTTATCACCATTAATTAAAGAAATAAAAAATATTTTAAAAACATAAATTGGCAAATTAGAAAGCCAAATTACAAATTAGTGTCAAAATGTTTTGGAATAAACTAAATTGATCTAATGATATAGGTACTTTTGTAATAAATTATTCATAGGTGCAAATGGGTGGGTAACACTTTAACGCTTTAAAAATTGTTTACCCCCATCCCTGAAAAACTGAAAAGATGATGTTAAATGTTAACCATAAGAAAGACATTTCTCTAATTTTATCAAAATAACGTAGCCCTCTCCCAAACTGTAGAGCATATTTTGTGTCAATGGATTTAGAGAAAACTAGTTTTGACTATCAAATAAATTAATACATTTTAAGAAAACCATACTTAAGAATACTCTTCTTCATCATCAAAAGATAGAACTAATTTTTCTGTTCGTTTTTTCTTTTTATTCACTCTATGCTTTTCTTCCGATTGAGGAGTAGTTTTAGCTGGACGTTTGAAGATTATACGCTTAGATAAATCTGCTGGTTTACTGTTTTCTTCTGAAAATATATCCATTATATATTTAAATATTGTTTTAATATTTACCATAAAGATTTTGCAGATAAAAGAATTTTTTTTAAGTATTTACAAGTAAAAGAAAATAGTCTCGAAAATAATATATCAAGTATAATATAAGTATCTATTTAAAACATACATTTTGTATGATTTAAAGATTTTATACCTTGTTCTTTGGCTAATGCCTCTCTGGAAGCTTCTTCAGAAGTTAAATCACCTTCAGTTAATACAACCACAGTAGGGTTGTCATCATCGTATGATTCGTCATCTTCATAAGTTGGAAGAGCAATTTTCTAAAAACAATTAAAATATTTAGTAGATTATATACATTATTTTTGTTAATCTTAATATATTAAGTAAATAGTTGTTATATTACATTTAAACCTAAACTATTTAAGTTTTAATTTGGTACCAAACAGTTTTTAATTTATATACAATTTTTTGATAAAGGAATTTATGAATTGTGTACATTATTACAAAATACCATAGGTAGGCATTTCAAAAGAAAAAACTACATTGGTTGATATTACATATCTCCAAATTAAATTCATAATATCGCTATCTAGGTAAATGATTGTATTCAAAAAGATAAAAACTCTAATTTTTATAATTAAAAACTGATAATATGCATAAAACATTGTTCATTAATGTTATTGAAGCATGATTTTTTTTCAATGACTATACAATGTTGTATGCTATAGATGAGTAGGTATAAATAGTATAAATAAAAGTAAATTAAAAAATCAATTAAATAACAATGATAAGTTTAAAAAAGTGGTGTTTTGTTTGTAATTTTGAATATCACTGAATTAGTGCATGACAATTAATAGTTCTTTAGTTTTTTTTATCCTAAATGCTTTTTTTAAAGATTAGGTTCAATAAACCTGTTTTTATTTAATTATTATTTGACATTAATTAGAATTAAAATTGTATTATCAGTTTCCTATAAATTTTTAAGGGTGTCTGTAGTTATTGTTATCCCACTTTGTGCTTAACTTCAGACAATCATAAATTTTATATAAAAGCTAAAAAAACAAATATAATTTTGAGGAGTTAAATGTATTGGCTAGATTGAATTTTTTTTAAAGAATTTTAAATTCATTATTTTAAGAAATATTTTGTAAAATAAGATAACCTTTAGATTAACTCCATTCTATGGTATTTATAGTTAATGGTACTACCTAATTACATTTTTAAATAAAAACACGCCTAAGCTTAATTATAAGCTTTGAAATATTCAGTTTTAAGTAATAAATAATAAATAATACCCACTTTTGTATCAACAGTAGGTCCTTCTTTATAGTTGGCTTCTTGTTTTAATTTTGTTAAAAATGATGGTTCTCGTGGTTTGATATACGAAATTTTATTTCTTTTTGACATTTCAAAACTGATTTTGTAAGTTAATATTATGTAGGTACTCAAATTCCTTATTTTGAGCACAAATTATTCCTAAATAATATACTGTTGGTAGGTGTTATTATATTAAACTTCCCAATTTGAAACATGTAAAATATTAAATATTGACGTGCCAGAGAACAGAACACAAGAACAAATTTATTAATAATTTATTACTAGAGTTTAAATACTGAAAAGTAACAGTTAAATAATAAATATTTTATCTTAAGTTTTTTAATAAGTTTTAAGTAGGTACATAACCATGATAGTAAATCAAATAACAGTATAATATACTTTACATTTATAATATTAATTAGTGTATTATAACAGTGACACTTTATATTAACAAATAAGTAGGTAATAATTAATAAAATAACTGAAAATCTGGATAAGTCAAGACGCCAAGATGGTACTACGGTAGTAGGTGGTAGTAGTAGTTACTATAGAGGCAGAATATTGTTAAGTTGTCATTGATAAATGATAATATTATCACCACAAACTACATTAAGTTGTGATAATATAGATATTCAAATTCAATTCGTATAATATTGTATATTCTTGTATCTTACAACGTTATAATATATATTATATAATTATAATAAGTTATAATACTCTGCTTACAACAGTTCGTGATCATGACTAAACTTGATTTTTACTCTGTAATACCAAATACCATAGAACAATAATATAATAGTAATACTATTTATATAATATAATTATAAACTATATAATAATAATATATAATATATAAATTATATACTATATAATAATAATATAAAGTAATACTGCAGATTAAATAACATTTTAATTTTATCAGTGATCGTACACGAATATATCTCATAACTTAGATCATATACTATATGATCTAAGCCTCATACATACACATGATATACCTATATTAATTATACGTTATTCACTCCACTGATATCGCTCCGGCAATACTTTTAAACTTAAACGGCATATTTAAGCATATACTAGCATATTGTAATATTATGGTAAATGTTAAAGGCATAAGCCATAAATGCGTATATTTTTAAAGCATAATGTTCCTTGCCCAAATTATGAAAGTAAAATATATTCTCGTCTGTTATTCAGATTCGAATAATTTATTATTTTCTGCCGCAATGTCGCGACGACGATATCATTCATTTTATTATTTACTCAGAATGAAAATAATAAAATAAAATAAATAAATATTGAGATTATGCACAGTAGGCACATTATACAAACTCCCAGCAAATATTGCTTATTTCGTTTCTTGTATAGTTGTATAGACTGTAGAGGCGATAGAACCAGATGAATAGTAGTAGTTAATAGTTAATGGCTCACTAGCCATTAGCTAAATAGTAAATACGTAAGATGGCATTATGACAATGTTAATTAATAATTAATAACGTCCGATACGTTCGAGTTTTGTACGGAAAATCGACTAAATCGAGATAGCAGAAATCGGAATAATATATTGTATTGAATATTTATTGGTAAGTAGTTTCATGATAGAAATTAATACTTCTATCCAGACTTCTATCTATTTATCTATAGTAGGTAGTTTCTTATAGTATTGAAACGAGCCCACAAATAACCAACAACTAGAAACACTTTCAATGGTCGGCATTAATAATTGAACATTGGACTTTATTATTTGATTGTACTTGTTCTTATTTTTACTATTTTAAATTTTTCAGTGATAAATTCAAGTTTTCGCTGCTCTCACTTGTTTTCCATCTATAATTGACGAATTTATGAGTAAGCATTCCAATGTTTGGTACTTAGTTTTGAATTTTCGACAATATTAAATTTATCATTTTATCATACGTTTAATGACAGCTACAGCTAAAAATTTCGAATGAATGCACTTGTAATAACTATGTTATTGATTTAGTACACTCGTGTTTTGTATACTGAAAAATGGCTGGTTATGTCGATGACTTGTCTGATTCGATGGGAGCTTTGTCCTTCAATGATGACCACTGGAATGAACTAGGATTGGATGACAGCATTCAAAGACAGCTTAGAAAAATAGAAAAAGATTATGAAAGTATTTTCTCATGGGACATCCAACAATTAACAGGCGTTAATCAAAACCTTATGATGAACCTCATTGATAAAGTTCATGAAAAATTAGAAATGATCATAGACAAGAACAATGAATTCAATTTAAATAGGTAGCTATCTGTCAGATTTATTTAAATACAACTATTGATTATAAATTTAATATTAATAATAATGATAATATCTATAAAAAATATTAACTATTAACTAGATTAATATAGCATTTAAATTTAAAACCAATGTTATTACTTAATTTCTCTATGTTATTTTTTTATTAATAAACAAAAATTCATAAGTATCAGAATACAATCATAAGGTTCACACTTAGGTCCATATTAATTTTATAAATCAAACTGTTTGCTTGCAGTGTTGCACACAATGGCATAGCGAAATGGGTAGTCAAAACACTGATGCTCTGAGCGATTCGGAGCAAGTGGATGATAGATTATGAAAATATGATCGCAAACTTTTAATTAAATATTTTTATGATGAACTTCTTTTTTTTTGTCAAAAATGTATGAATTATGAGATTTTATTGAATCTTTGGTTAATGGGTAGAATATTAGACTTGTCTCTAAAAAATGATTAAATTACAATTGTAGATAAAATATCTAGAGTGAAACTATTTTATTTTTTAGATTTTATTTACAATTGGTAGCTAGTTATGAACTTTACATTAGTAAAAGTTATCAAGAATCATATTTGGAAATTGAAAATGTTCTTAAATTTATGGAAACCTGTAAATTTGATGAGTCAAATGAACAGTACTCTGATGCTTACTACCATATTGCTCATGCCACCAATGCTTATATTGCATTAACATTAAAAATTGATTCAGAAAAGGTAAATTTGAATTACTACTTATTAAACTAAATTAAACTTGAGTAACCTATAATAAGTAAATTTGTATTCATGATTATACATACTAACCATATCATATATCATGTTTAAGCATACTAAAAGACTATAGTTTATAAATACTATGTAAATAATAAAATGTTTTGAATATTCATATACCAATTATTTTTACATTTTAAAAATGTAATCTGCTTAAGAGGATGTCAGCGCACTATTTGTTTTCTCTCTCTGACCCACGCGTAACATAGACAAAACGCATTTACAAAGAATCATTTTTTCTAYGTCTTTAAGTAATTTTAGAGTAAAACCTTCCATTACAAAAAAGATAAAGAATAATATTTTTGAGGGAATGACATATTGATTTTATATTTTATTGATATTT